CCCAACAGTATGGTAAATCGGGCTACATTCAAGGATGACACCCCAAACCACTGGTATGGGGCTGCACCGATGTCAGAAAGCAGGGGGCCACCAAGCAGAGCGGGATGCCCAGGCCCTGTGGCCATGTGGCCAGGGGATCATCCTCTAGTTGTGGAGCGTGAGGAGGGTCATGGGAAGGTAGGGAGCCGGCTCGGGGCAGCACAAGTCAGCCTCAGTACAGATATCCTTTCACATGTCCCAAGTGGCCCGGCTAGCACCAGCGGGTGGACCGCACCGGCAGCCCATCCGTCCCCAGCAGGCCCCTCTGGGGCCACAGCTGCACCACGATCCTCAGTACCTAACGCATCTCTGTGGGCGCACATGGCCACCTTCCAGTGAGTCGCCGAAAGGATCAACACAAGGGAAGGGGAGCGGTGCCCACTGTGTCCTCTAGGCCTTTCAGAAAACATGGCAGTTGTTCCCTCGGCCGCACACACGCGAGTCTCTGATAACGGCGATAGGAGACGTCAAGGGGCCCCGCGCGGCTCACAAAAGGACGCCCACACGTTGCCATGGCAGCACTGGAAGAGCTGCGTTACCCCGCTCGCGCTGGCACTGCTGTAAACGAACAAGGGCATGACACTTGCCCAGGGATTCATGCTCTCATTGAGCACATGGAGCACTCCCGGAGTCAAGATCGCGCCCTGAACCACGTGAAAGGAAATGATAAGGAAAAAAAAAGACGCACACTGGATGAGAGCCTGCGGGAAGGCGCCTGAGCTGCCGAGCCATCCCAGTGAATTCATGGATTCACAGCAGGATGGGTGTGAAAAATAAGTAAGACCTCTGGAATATAAAATATGTGTGTGTGTGTGTGTATGACATCAAGAATTACTCCATGATACATTACGTAAATAAATCAGATTACATCATGGTGCATATTCTGATCTCTGAGGGATGTTGGGCTGAGTGTGTGTGCGCGCAGGATGGACAGAACTAAGATGTTCAGTCTCTAGAAGAATTGTGGCTGGATGCCACTTTTCTTACTACTTTCATGTTCTAAATATCCTACAATAAAAATAAATACAAGTTAAAATACTGTGTTTCAGGTATGGTACTATACCCCCGTGGAGAATTATGATTGGGAAGGAAATACAGAAAGAGGGAGTTTCTGCCAGGGAAGCTGCTCAGATCAAATCCAGAAAGTGTATCCACACCTTCCCCCCTACTTATTACAAAATATAAAACTGGCATAAAAACGTAGTCCTGGACTCATTCAATTATTCAGGAGCTGAACATTTGAGTTCTAGAAACCTGAAGCTCAGCTTGACTTCCATAGAATCATGAGACTGCACAGCAAGGAGGATGCTCAGACGACCGCTTTTTCATTGGTGAGGAGGCACCGGCCTGTTCACACGTCCTTGGAAGGATGTTCGCCCGACTCTTTGCAAGGAAAGTTGCACTTCTTTCCCTGGATTTGTTTAAAACCCACACTCTGTCTTTCACAGACAGCACAGTATTTCCACTGTGGGTTCCCACCCGGAAGGATAAAACTGACTTCCAGGGCCTCCCTGGTGGCGCAAGGGGTTAGGACGCAGACTATGGGGCTGTCTGCAGCTGCTGCAGCATGAGTTCGATCCCCAGCCAGGGAGCTACCATATGGCACAGCAGACCTCTCCTGGCTCGCCCGCTACTCCCCTCAGCAGTGTGTTTCGGCCACTCTGCCTGATCTGTCCCCCAGTCTGTTTCTGGTGAATCCTCTCACCCCACCACCCGCACCTCTCACCTGTACCCCAGTTCTTGTGTGCATGGATGAATGAATCTTTAAATGTAAAAACTGAATTCCATATTATTCTACACTTATCAAAAGTCTATCCTCAAAACACATACAGAAGATCCTTCATTATAACATCGTTTCATTATAACATTGATGTGGAAAAAAACAATGGACTCCCACATGGGGCCACAGTCTGTATGGAGGGTGCACCTTCTCCCCAAGTCTTGTGGGTTTTCTCATTTCCTCCCACACCCCAGAAACGTGTGCGCTGATGCGTCTATACTGTACCAGTCGTGCAGAATAAGCACAGTTGTTAGGGGCACCTTGCCTTGGAAGGGTGTCCTGTCTAGGGTGGGTCCCTGCCTGGCGCCTTGCGTTGCCAGGACAAACTCTGGCCATCCCCATGCTGCAATGGAATAAATGGATTAGACACCAAATGAACAGGTGAATTATTTTTTATTACAAATTATTTTTTTCATCTTACAAGTGCTTGGGGTATTCAGAAGTTTGATGATACTTTTGTGACAAGAAATATGCCCTACTAACTAAACTCTTGCTTGTACCAATTAGCCCATGGTCAAATTGGTTTCATCACATGCTGTTTACTCTGTTTCCAAGACTGTACTTGTGCTTGGAAGTGTGGCACCCAACTGTTTCTCGAGCTGGTGTACAAGCCAGCCCTGGCTCAGGCCATACAACTGAAGTCACACAGAAGCTTACTGGCGAGTTCTCGTGTTAAAAAAATAAAACACTATTCCTATTGGGTTGTTTAAAAAACGTTTGCGACATCAAACGGCACCAATTTATAAATATCTGAAGAAGAAACCAGGCTAGGCCCAGGCCAGGAAAGCTGCACTTCCCTGAGCAACTTCCCTGCTTTGCTTTTATCTGACACATCCTGTGAGCACTGCAAAGAAACGGCTTCCTTTTTTTTTTTTTCCCATTTGGGGGTGGAGAGGCAGCAGCGGGGAAGAGTGACCAGCAGGACTAAGGGCACATGCACATAAATTTAAAGAAAAACAAGTTTCTCAGGCAAAGTGCAGGAAATGGAGAATTAATTTCTTCCTTCCTCTCTCTAAAACTGACCCTTTTTCCTACCACTTGTCTTTCTTGCAGATACATCTGAAGGCAACAGATCTACTGCATGAGCTACAAAGAACACAAAAATAACCAGAGGAAAAGAATCTTTTATTATTATTTTATTATTTCCTGGTGTTGACACAGCTGGCTAAATAAACTAATTTTGCTCACTTACAAATATAAAATAAATGGCCAATGTAGCATACAAAGAAGCCACCATCACAACTGAAGTGATAATACATTCTGAACAATTTCCATGGCTTTTCCCCTTTGAAAAACCTGAAGGCAAAGAAAAATGTAACGCAGGTAGTTTGTTGGCTTCTTCCTCCCTCTCTTCCCACCTCTCCCCTCACTCCATCTTTTTCTTTTTTAATATATGGATATCAGCATTAAGAATAATCTAATAAACTCTGTGTCTAAATTTCAAGTCAACAGCCAAATGTAAGTGGAGTTTCAGACAACAGAGCCTGAAGAATCTTGACGTGCTCAGTGATGCTCCGGGCGCTGGTGGGCTCCCTGCTAGAGATCCCAGGGAACAGCTGGAGAGCCTGGGGAACAGCTCCGCCTGTGGGCCACAGTCCTTCAACGTGGGGGAACGCTCCACCCACCTGGAGTTAGCATCAGCAGCCACAAGTTAAGGGATGTCTCACGTGACTCCTCCCACTTCAGGCACCGTCACCAGGACTTGTGACCTACTGGCTATAAATTCAGAGGATTCACCTCAAGTCCTACCATTTGCGAGAACAACTCACAGAACTCAGGAAAGCACTCTGATTCAAATTTATCATCAAGTGACCTACAGAATCAATGAAATTTCAAATCCTAATCGGCCTATCTATTTCATAGATCTTAAGCAAATTTTAAAATAAAGCATAAAGAATAAAGATGCAGACAAGCCAGGAAATTTGTGAAGATGACCACAAGAGAACTTATGTATTAGCTATCAAGACTTACTATGAAGGTCCTCCCTGGTGGTGCAAGGGGTTAAGTCTCAGCACTATGAAGCTATCCACAGCCACTGCAGCATGGGTTCGATCCCCAGCCGGCCAGGGAGCTGACCCACATGGCGCAGCAGACCTCTCCTGTCTGGCTCGCTACTCCCCTCAGCAGTGTATTTCAGTCTGTCTGTCTGTTCTGTTCTCCACTCTGTGTCTGTTGAGTCCTCTCACCCCCAGCACCTCTGGTCTGTACCCCAGTTCTCGTATGCATAAATAAATAAATCTTAAAAAAAAAATTGTATTTCAGAGTGCTGGAGGCTAAAAGTCTGAGACCAAGGTGCCAGAATAGCAAGGTTCTGGTGAAAGCCTCTTCCAGGGAGCAGAAAGCTATCTCTTACATCCTCCATGGCAGAGAGAAGGTGCGCACTCTCCAGGGTCCATTGATGAGGCCACTGATTCCATTCATGACGGCACCACTCTCAAGACCTAACCCCCTCCTAACGCCATCACACTAGTGGTGAGGCATCAACCGATGAATTTTAGGGAGACAAAAAAAATCAGTCCATTGCAGAAACCACGTTGGAAAATAACTGGTGTTATTTGTAGAGTTGAACATGCATAACAATTCTATCCCATGGTTTAAGCCCATGGTTTAAGCTTAATGTACAAAGAAAGAAGGAAAAACCCGCAACAACTTGAATGTCAATGAAAAGAAAAATGAAATAAACTGGGGGGTACTCATAGTGTGATAGGATCAGACCATTTCATAAAGACTCAGAGGACCACAGAGAGTAAACTCTTTTAAGTAGAATAAAAAAAACAAGTATTTTAAGTACCACTTTTAGCTAACATGTAGATAAAATAAAATCATATAAAGTAAAGGAATAGCGGGCAAAAAAAAAAAAAAGGAATAATAGATGCCCCAAATGGAACAAGCGGGGACTATATGGTAAAGCTAGACAGGGGTTAATATCAAGGTCCCGGCTATTGAAGCGGATGACAGTTTCATCAATACTTAATCAGTATTGAAAGTGAAAAATAAATGAGGATCTTGCATAGATGGCAGTGTTCGAATGTGTCAAAAAACAGAGATTATTATTAATCTACTGCTGTAAACCACTTGAGGGCCATTTTTAAATATAAGATAAAGTGCACAAAAAGATAACAATAATTTCAGATTCAAATTTGAGATTATTTCTCAAAACAGGCTTGTCACGAGTGAGGAATGGAAAAAAATCAGGTTATATGTCTTATCTGATAGGAGAGAGGGAGGTTAAATACTGATTAATTCTTTACACTGATAGATATATTTCAAGTTTGACTAGTAACAATCAAAGCAAAAGACATTTAAAAAAGAATGATCAATGAAGTTTTAAAGGCAAAAAGGTAAAAAAAAAGACTCCAGAAAGCTTGACAAGTGAAAAACATTTTAAAATGTCTGAAATAAGAAGAAATAAATAATTGTCATAATACTTTTGTGAGGATTAAATGATAATAAAGCAAGTTCAGTGCCTCGAGTATTATTTTATTTATCCACTTAGAAAATAAAAAATTGTGAATGCCAAATTTAGATATGTCATTTGAGATCATAAAAGAATTTGATATAGTGTTCACAAGTATTTCATTGGCTTTAGAAATTATATGAATAAGCAACATATATGCTCTTAGGCCACAATGACGCGAAACTAGTACATAAACCTGTCTGTTAAATAAAAACACTTAGGTACTCTTCAGAGTTAATGGTCTATACTCTTTATCCCTAAACAGGATTTTCCTTAAAGAAACAGTGTAAGTCCAAGACCGGTAGGCTATCAGGGAAACTTTTTCTAGCTCTGTCTTTGAACTGTTCTTATTCTTAGCCGCTCCAAGATAGAGAAATTATTTTGTATTTATTAAAACCTTATGAAGCAGGCATTGCTACCTCCCCGGCCCCACCTCTTTTTTTAATAGCTGAGGGAACTGGGGCTCAGAAAAGTTAAGTAATCTTTCCAGGTTACACCGCTAATAAGTCATGCTTCAACAGAATTCTAACTGACCCCACAGATAATATTGAATTACAGGCCATCACTGATAGATCCTTGGGCCACATGAGATAATCTGCTACACAGTACAAAAACTGTATTAGACTATATAAAAGATACCTAGACTCTAAGTAAAACTAAATCCATGGCCTGTTTTCCCTGACTGTTAGAAGATTTCTATTATTTAAGTTTGCCACATGAGCCACTCGCTGGTGTGAGACCACAGACTAAAATCATGCTGGTCCTTTGCTGCCCCCTACTGGAACATGTATGTAGATACACAAAATCCTCAGCCAACTATTTCAGGTGTACCTAACTTCCTTTTATAGATTAAAATTTCTAGAACATGTAATTTGTACCTAAAAGAGACCCAATGGATGTTTATAGGATTAAACTGAAAGTCTGCTCCTCTGAATCTCTGATTTGTACTAGGGGGTTGATTTTATAACACTCTTACGATAAATGATTTAATTATGTGATAACTGTGTTCCAATTTAACCATGTGGTATATAGATCGGCATATATCATGTTTACTTAAAATTATAAAATTTCATTATGTACTCAGGGACTCTGGTTACATTTAATCATCTCCGGGGATTCTGGTTTCATTCATGATAAAAGGAAATAAACATTATAATGTAAAAATTTTCAGTTTAATCACTTCTTTCTTTGCTTCTACTTAAAGCCCAGATACAACAAGCAGCCAAAGGCTCAAATTTCTTCTTATTTCCTGCTCTTTGTTTAGCCCCTGTTGGCTGTGATCACATTTTCTGAGACGGAGAGGGCTGATCAATCTTCAACTAACTCTCTGAAGAACAGCATGACCTCAATGATAAGCCATTTCCTCAACTGATAAAGCTGTTACTGATGAGCTAAACATTAAAGCCCACAAGCTTAAGACATTAAATCAGGGAGGGATTTTTGTAGCTAAATGGTCAAAGTCATCCCTTCACTAGCTCATGGATGGGTGGTCTTACAGCAGGAAAATGCTCCAGGCTTCCTGCTGGAAGGACGCGTTGCAGCTCTTGTAACTGGACTTCACCTGGCTCTCCCCTCCAGGGCCGGGAAGGCTGCACACACCCCTCAGATGCGACACCATTTCACTTCTTTTTATGACTGAATGAGCTTCTAAATATAACCTTCCAAATACATATGTGTATGTGTGCATTTATTTATACACACACACACACAACACAACACAGAAGATTCTTGAATAACATTTCAGCATAATTTTGATTAAAAAATAATTAATTCCTGGTTGGGGCAGCTTTCTGGATGGCGTTTGCATTTGGATTTTCTCCATGGACTCCGGTTTCCTCACACATTCCAGTGCACACTAGCTTCACTGGCCTGTGCATACTGTCCCAGCCTGCGTAGTGTGGTGTATGTGCACCAGTGCACCCTGCAACAGAAGGACATCCAGGGCTGGATCCCACCTCAAGCCCTGAGCTGCCAGGAGAGGCCCCAGCCTGAACTGGTATAAGTGAGAATATGTGAACAAATGAATAGTGTTTAATGTCAGAAGCTTTGGAGTCTTTATTTAGAAGTTTGGTGATGTTTTGTGATCAGAAGTAGACCGCTACCAATGACATTCAGTGAGGACTTAGTGAGTATATATGTGTGTGTATATATTCACACACAGATATATATATATATGCACACACATATATATTTGTATACACACACATACATCCATACTACATGTTCTTTATACATTCATCTATATATGGTGAGAGTGGAAAACTTTTCCTCTAAGATCAGGTACAAAAGAGGGGTGCCCATTCTCACTATTTCTATTCAACATAGTTCAGGAAGTCCTAGTCAAAGCAATTAAGTAATAAAAATAAAAGACATCCATATCAAAAACAAAGAAGTTATATTCTCTTTGTAAATCACTATTATGTAGAAAATCCTAAAGACTCCACCCAAAAAAGCCTGTTAGAATAAACAAATTCAAGAAAGTTTCAAGGTATAAAATCAATGTACAAAAATCAGTTGCATTTGCATTTCTAAGCCACTCAAAACATTTTTTAATAAAAAGCAACCCTTAAAACTTTTTAAAGTATAACCCCTGAGGCCTCCCTGGTGGCACAAAAGGTTAAGACACAACCTGCGAAGCTGTCCACAGCCACTGGAGCACGAGTTCAATCCCCAGCCAGGGAGCTTCCCACATGGTGCAGTAGACCTCTCCTGTCTCTCCTGCTGCTTCCCTCAGCAGTGGATTTCAGTAGATCTGCCTGTTCTGTTCCCCATTCTGTCTCTGGTGAATCCTCACACCCCACCCCCCACACCTCTGACCTGTACCCCAGTTCTTGTGTGCATAAATAAGTAAATCTTAAAAAATAAATAAATCTTAATAAATAAATAAATAAATAATGAAGTATAACCCTTAACATGTTAAAAGAGAAAACGGAATCATATAAAATATTCAAGTAAAGCAGAGAAAGAGGAAAAGAGGAAGACAAAGACTAAACACAATGAATACAATAGTTAAAAACACAGTGGATATTAACCCAACTATATCAATAATTAATTGAAATATGAATGGTCCTGTTGGGATTCAGATGATGGGGTTAGGTGGGTGGGGTTTTTGGGTCCCTTTGGGAAAGAATTCAGTTCCCATTCATCAGCACACAGGAAAGGAAAACCAGGAAAGAGAGATTGTTACAAGACAGCCCAGATATAAAACGGGTTGCCTGACTATGGGTCCTCACCCGCACACTTTAAAGAGACTTAATACTCCGCTGCAGGCACACACAAAAGATTAATAAAAGATTTATTCACAAGGGAAGGGAAAATGAGGAAATGTACAACTCAGGGAAAAAAGTGGGAGATAAAGTCTTAAACGCGTCCTACCCATTCTGCCTATTTGGAATCCCAAATGGCACTCTGAGAGCTGGCCACGAGCCACAGGCCGTGAAGCCAGGAGGTGAGTGAGAGAGAGACCCCAAGGCCCACGTGTCTGGTTTTTATACCA